GTTTCTAGTGCCGCTGATCTGTCAAACTTTTGAGCTCGAGCGTTTTGAACAACTTAAACAATTGTAAATATCTGAGTTAATTTTGCATATTTCTTCCAACAAACAGCATGGTATTTGTCAAAAAAAAATATAAATTAAAAAAAAAAGAATGCTCTCGCTTACTCTGAAGCCAAGATATTATAAGAAATTCACGTTTGTTGCAATAACGGGCTAACAATTGGGTTTTTTATTGCAGAACAATTTGTATGTCATCTTTATGTATAATTGCATTACATTGCTGGAGCTTTTTATTAATTTCATTGAAAAGCAAGCTAAAAAAAATTCAAGCAAGTCGAATTGTAACAGCTGGCAGCAGCTCTGCCCCCTCTACCTATATCACTCTCTTGCGACTAGGTGGTTGACCGGTTGCAATACGCATCTAGATTCTAGCTAAACAGTAAAACACGGGCTGTGGCTGGTGTTTGAATTTAAATAAGTTGTACACTCAAGTGTAAGTGATTATTTCCAGGCAGTGACCCTAAATGGCAACGTTGAATACCATGTATAACTTCTTGTGGTTGACAGGCTAAAGAAAGCAATCACAAGCATTTATATACATATGTGTGTGTGTGTGTGTATGTGTGTGTATGCTCTAAGGCTGTGTTCAGACGCAACGTCAATAGCAATCTGCTATCTATTTGAATGCACAAGTGCGAGAGAAATGAAGGATCATTCACCCTCCCTCTCGCACCCGTGCATTCAAATGGATTGCAGATTGCTATTGAAGTTGCGTCTGAACGCACCCTTAGTCAGTTGTTTACATGCAAGAACTTTGGTCAAATACCTGATACAGAGGGCGCAGCCTCATCTGTATCGACTCGGAGCGAATAAGGACTCTAGACTCTTGAGTGCTTGCTCGTCAATGGACTCCTGAGGTATTTTCAAAACTTATTTAGTTTTATTGGCTATGCTTGCTTCAAGGTGAATAAATAAAATGTGATAAATGTTACTAATATCTATGAACTAATTTCACACCTACTCCGTTGTCATCATAAATAACGAATGAGAAAATGTAGTCAAGTTGCCAGGGTAGAGTTCTTAAAAATAAACAATTATTGTTACTTACCCATGCGTACTGCAACCGGTCGACCGCATCTAGTTGCAAGAGAGTGGTACAGACGGAAGGACAGAGCTGAAACTAGCTGTTACATTGTGACTTTCTTGAATTTTTTTCAATGAAATTGTTCGGCAGTGTGATGCAACTGTGACATAAAGATAATACAAAAATTCTCTCGCAATGAAACATAAAAAACGTCAATTTTTTATACCTCAGCTTCCGAAGCTTTTGAGAACAGAGCCTTCATTCTAGGTACATGATTTAATACACGCTTTCCCATCACTACTATTTATTATAATTTCCATATTTTATCTTACTTGTTCTACTTATAATTTGTTGTTCTTTCAATTCTGTATTTGCTTATTTCACTAGTGTACCTTTTTTTCTTTTCAATATCATAATATTTGTAATGGGGCATGTCCCTGAAACAATTACCTCAATAAATAAATAAATAATAATTATATCTCGGCTTTAGAGTAAGCTAGAGGATTTTTTTAAATGTATTATTTTATGATAAATCAATGCCGCTTGTTGAAAAAAATATGCATAATTGACTGAGATATTTGCAATTGTTTAAGTTGCAGTATAAAATTTTTTATGAAAAAACGTCAAAATTTACTAAAATCAGTTTTTGTTTGTTATTATTTTTAACATTGAATACAATGTTGTTACGGAAACAAAATGTCGACAAATCGACCGTGAAGTTTCACTTTAAGGTAGTAGTCGACCAGAAACACTTTTCTTACGATTTTCCTGAAATTTTGTATATAGCTTAAGATAGCAATTATTCATCATGAGCCAAAATTTTAAGAGGCCGGGCGGTATGGTTTCAAAGATATTAAAGTTTTAACGTTGAACTTTTAACACAGAAGGTATAGGAAAGTGCCAGATTGGGGGTCGATTTGTGAACGAAATTGCTCATATCTCTAAAACGCTTCTTACAATGTTTCCAAAAAAATAGTATGATATAATTCATATTATAAAGCAACTGTAGTTAAACTTTGAAAGGGCTCAGCGACATAGTTTTTTAATACGAGCCTGGCAAAATTGATAGCTTTAGTGCAGCTGCATGAGAAGAAAAAGGACAGCTGTATATTGCGGACCTCATAACCTATGCATATACTACAGTGCAGTATGGCACGCACTGTAGAGCGCTCGACTACTACCCTAACGAGTTAATTAACACAAAACTAATAATTTTTTTTCAATTTTACAGATAGCTTTTTGAGTGGCTCTTTAATATCTATATTTTCTGATGGTTACGTTTAAATTGTTATGATAGTTTTTTTTCTACATCGATCGAAAGTTTTTCGGTATAAAAAACTTTTTTTCCGTATTTCCGTACTTTCTTTTTATTTACAAATAAATAATAAATTTGAAACATTGTCCATTTTGTAGAAAATTTTATGACAAACAGATTGATGGTCGTAAAATACATCTAAGAGCAATGGAAGTAGAGATATAAGCAAGAAACTAAAGAAAAAATTGACATTTGTTCATAAATTGTTAAATAAATAAATTAATCCGACTTCTGATTTAGACAAAACTAGTTTTCTTGCATTCCTGGGGAAATTCTATAGGGGAATGACCGAATGACCAATTTTTTTTCTACTGGACAACATAAGATTCAAAAATTTCTCGGGTAATAGACTATAATAATAGTAATAAACTCTCTCATATTAGTTGTGCCTTGTGTAAAAAATTGCAGTTTTGGCGTTAATTTAGTCACTTGTTTCACCTCGATCTATCTAAATTCGAAAGTACTTATCTTTTTAGCTTATTTATACTTATCCTACTGAAGTAAACAATTTTATTCACATCTGTCAAACAAGATTGGAAAAATAATTTTTCTAAGAAGTTATAACAAACTAAGGATTCCTCTATTCTGTCAGTGAAATATTTCACAGAGTGAATGGCGTATTAAAAAAGTTGAATTGACAAAAATATGTTATTTTAATTGTGAACTTGTTACTACATATTTATGTTTATAGTCTCTTGTTGATTTTACATTAAAATTTTCAGCACATTATGAAAATGATTCTTTGCCAGATTTTTTTCCTTTCGCATTTATGTTTTACCGTGTTTTTTTTATCTAATTTTTTTCATTAGTTCTTTTAGTCAAGATTTCATTTTAGTTAAATTAATTATCAGCAAAACTACGAAGATAAAATGAGTACAACAGCTATCAAGGATATTTAGTATTTACAGAACCCCTAAACTAAGTTAAAACAAAGGTAAAGAATTTTGAAAAAGTGTCTAAAAAATCATTATGCTCCATATTTTAAAGTATATTTTTTAATACTTATGTATAGAATTGTAAAAATCAAGAGTATAACATAAAGTATATCAAGAATACGTATGCATTAAAATTATTCCCTAGAGGTCTTTGAATAATATTAATTAGTTATTTCTCACTATCACAATGAATAATTGAAAACTAAATCATATACCAAGCAACCCTTTCCAACGAATCTATGTTATGAATGTATTTCAACATTAAATATACAATAAGTATAAAAGTACTGGAAAATTGGTTTGAACTTTACGAATTATTTATAATTTTATCATTGATATATTAGTATTATACGACAGAACCTTTTCATGAACGTACTTTCATTAATAATTCGAACAATCACTGAGACCTTACGGCCCACATACAACCCGATTTATGGAATAAATAATAAAACTTGCCTTAAAACGTACATAAGATATGCTATTATTTGCTAGTACAGTACTATGACTGGTGATTAATTGTGTATTCGACAACTAATAATTCTATTTTAGTATTAGTTATTTCAATGCTAGAATCATTTTTTTGGTTCATAATACTTGAATGCTTGAAAGCAGTTGCATCGTGGCTAACGTATGGTCAACATTTTGGCTTGTCATTTAAATCTATATTCTCGTAATACGTACACACGTACACACACACACACACACACACACACACACACACACACACACACACACACATATATATATATATGTGTGTGTGTGTGTGTTCATGCAAGTGTGGCTGTGTTTGTTGTATGCGTGTATGTACATATGTTTACGTTAGTACGTACTACATACGTACATACACACACACACAGCACACACAGTCATACTTACACAAACATATTTAGTGAAATTTCAGAAAAACTTAAAATTTTAAGATGATTGTCTGAATACAACGTTGTACTGAAATATAAAAGTTCAGTATTTTTCCTTACAACATTTTATTTCAACATGGAACTTTTTGATAGTGATTATTGGAAGATAACAATATTTTTACAAAAATTTGTGGGTATTTGGGTTTTCCAGAAACACTGGATAAAATATTTTTCATGGGCTTACGTGTATGTATTCACATTATCGTTTATGGTTGTAATAGTAAGTTCTAAAATAAAAATTAAATTTGATAAACAAAATATTGTTTGCATATTTATTACAAAAAAAATTCATTGACATGCAGGGAATTAGGTGGTACAATGAATTAGGTGTTAACATAGATATTGTTGTGGAAAATTTCATCAGTGAGTTGTATCTGAGTATCGTTTTCTTTAAAATTACGACAAGCATCATGACTAAAAAAAAGGTTACCCTTTTTGTTTTTTAAAAATCAGAAAATTCTATTTACTGTAGTTAATAGAATATCACGAAGTTTTAGGACTTTTAAATACTGAGATACATTACTGGTTACAAATAATACAAATTTTACTGACTAATTATGACGCTAAGCGTTGAAACTATGTAAATCACAAAAAAATGTACGTGCCGTAGTTGTCTGACGTGTTAAATGTAAAAGTAAAGAGTGAGCCCGATATTTTCAATGATGAAACAAAAACAACACCAAAGTCAGTAATATAACCTTGATTTTTTTGCCTGAAAACAGATTGAACTAATCTAAAGTGATGCGAGTATGATGTATGTAACGGTAAGTAACGTGTTCTTTGATTTAGTAAAGTTTAATTTATTTTTAGTTGTAAAGCTATTAAGCATTGACTTATTAGGACTCACGTTATATTTACACTTTAAAAGGTCAAGTAATGAAAAATTGAATTTTGCACAATCAACAACGTATCGGGTCTTTAAAAGTCCTAAAAATTTGCACTTTTTTTTTACCATGAGCTCTGCCCGTCTTGCATACAGTAAATACTGAACTTTCTGATCATGTGAATGTTGCATATTTTTCAAGAAATAATATTATTTGACGTTATATTTTTATCTGCAGTTAAAAACTTTGCTGTTGAAAATCGCTCAGGATTGGAAACAGTTTAACGACAAAGATGAGTTGAAAATAATGCACAAGTATACCGAATATGGTCGTCAGAGTATAACACTTTACTCAGGTGCACAGTTAAAAACGACCATTTTTTACATATATAACAGTTTTGGAAAAAAAATTATGGAATTGAAAAAAAATACTGTTTTTCTTAATGGAATTAAAATATGCGAACCAACACATTTGATGAAGAAGGAAGGACGATGACCGTAATTTTTGCTTGTTTTAGGTTACATGATAACAACTGTAATCGTTTTCCTTAGTTTCCCAATGGCAAGCCCAGTATTGGATCTAATAATGCCGCTCAAAAATGGTACCCGACCAAAAAACTTGCCCTACTATGCAGAGTATGGTATCGACTTAGAAGAATATTATTATCCTTTAATGGCTCAATCATTAGTTGGAGGTGTAGGAACCATCGTGGTTCTTGTATCGTTCGATCTGGAATTTATTTTGATAGTCCAACATGTCATTGGATTGTTTTCTCTTGTCAAGTATGTAATTAAATGAATCATAGTCATTCATAATACTTTAAAATGCAAACATCTCTATCGTATAACATTTGATCACACAGTTTTCGTTTGAAAAAAGTTGAAAAAATGTCTGAAGAAATTGAAAACGGTAAAGTTATTTTTGTTAAAGGTGATTACTTAGCGTATCTATACACGATCAGCGCAATTGACTTACATAAAAAAGTGGTGGAGTAAGTTTGAGAAAACCTTAAGTCATCAATAAAGTTTATTCTGCTATATTTTATTCATTGCAGGTATATTGAAATTATTGAAGATTCATACAACCTAGCTTGGCTTATCATAATGTCTTTAAATATGGTCGAGTTTGGGGGAGGTTTGGCTACGGTACCACAATAGAAAAATTTTTGTAGACCAATAGCCAACCGAAAAAAGGCACCTATAATTTGAGTTAATGAATCTATCCTCACTTGGCAGCTGTTACATCTTATCTGAAACAAATACCGAAAACGATTTAGTTTATATAATTCGTTTGTCACTGATATATAGAAAGCTGTTCAAAAGTCAAATTCAAATTCAAATCCTGGCTCAGCTTAAGTAAAAGTTGACGTAAGGCTCTATTGGTTTGAAAAAAAAAAATAAATAAATAAAAAATAAATAAAAGAATGTGTGGGACTTGGAGTCCCCCGGTAAGAACGAAGTTCTTGTATGTATGTAGAAATCACTTGTATACTACTAAAATACAAGGTTCGTAAACACATGTGAGTAAAATATGTATTTTTTTCATGGGTTACGGTGGTATATGTCTTTCCTGTACATTTGTCATGTATCAAAGGCTCGGGAACCCATCAGCCAGAACGCATTAATTTTTTTTTTTTTTCAACTGAATTACACTTTTGATGGTTTATTAAAAGTGAGGAAATATTATAAAATATATTATTTGGTTCATGAGAACGAGAAACAAATAACAAAATATGTAAGAAGTAGTTTGTTGAAAATATGGTGCGCTTAATTATAAAAATACAAAATGTATTGATGCAAACGTTATAAAAACAAATGAAACAAGTCGCGTCTTGTGTATGTCAGTAAAACTTTAAATCGATTAAGTACATCGTATACCAAAATCAGTCCCCTGGTACTTCTTCCTCTACTAGTGGGGCGGCCAGGTAGGTATCCGTAGCCTCTTATATGTCCACGACTGCACCAAAGTTTTTTCTACGTATTTTTACCTCCTGAACACGATGCTGTTGGGTGCGAGCCCGAAAAAGTCCGGAGTCGATTGTTATTAACAATTTACATAAACAAATAAAAAATAAAAATACGTTTCCGACCTAAAAAAAATTTCTTTAGGTTGATTGGTCCATTTTAAACAAAAAATACCTCTTGCTATTTTTTCGTAAAATGCTTAGATTGTTCAGAAAAAAATTAAAAAGATAGAAAAATCACTGAATTTGATGAATTCTCGGTACGCGTTATTCTTTCGACGACAATTTCGGGATATAATTTATGTTTCATTAGTTTTCATGTAATCATCAACGTGTTTTGATCTACTAAACAGAGCCAGGAAAATTGTTGTTAACAATTTACATAAAAAAATTAAAAAATTTCTCGTTTTCGACCCAAGAAGAATTCCTAAGGTTAATTGCTCCATTTTAAACAAAAAATACCTCTTGCAATTTTTTTTTGTAAAATTCTTGGATTTTGCAGAAAAAAAAAGGAAAGTTGGACAGAAACTAAGTTTTCAGCTCATGCTAGTAGTTCTTTACGTATGATTTTGCTTGTATTCTGTAATTATTTGTCTGTTAACCTTTTTTAAATTATTTTCACCACCTATAAGAAATTTTTCTAACTATTGGTCAAAGTAAAGCCGGATCAAATCTTTATCAATACAGTTTATAACATTCTCAATGAACTTTTACACTTTGAATTTATAAATTTCTATTGATTTTTTGGCTCATCGACGGTGTTCCATGGATATGTACTGAATATAAATATTTGTGTCCTGTACATTATATAAGTTTACATATTTTAAACGTAAAAATCTATGGTCAAGTTAATCAATACACAATCTACATTAAAATACCGTTCTTTTATAAAAAAAATAAGGTAAGTACTTTTATATAACCATAATAACTTTCACACATAAAATACGTTAATCATTAAAACGATTCCAAAATCATACGTGAAAAACTACACGGATAGACAAATCTCGGGTTTTACGCTTGGAGGTCTTCGTGCGTATCGACCACGACAACTTTTCTTGCGTATGCAGCACGACGATTGTGCACCGAACTCAAGTGGTCCGTGCGATAATCGCAATTAATGTAAATTGTTAATAACAATCGACTCCGGACTTTTTCGGGCTCGCACCCAACAGCATCGTGTTCAGGAGGTAAAAATACGTTGAAAAAACTTTGGTGCAGTAGTGGATATATTATAAAGAGGCTACGGATACCTACCTGGCCGCCCCAAAGATATACGCACGCCGCACATAAGCTATTGAAACGTTCATGCGTAGATCAACAATACCGCAGTTGTTAAGCAGCTAACGTTTGTAAATCTTTTGTCATCCTAAAGTACATGCTTCAAGGTAAAATTTAAGACCAGGTGGGTTGAAAATAATGCAATAGCAGCTGAGTAATACGTACTCGAAAACCGTAAAAAACGCGTTTTTCCAAACTTGAGGAATTTTTTACTCGAAATCTGTGGGGTTTAGGTTTATACATCCCAATTGATTTTTTGTTCAAAATGGGCCAAAGAATAAGGAGCAATTTTTTTTTCTCGAAAAAATTAAGTTTTCAAATTTGTTAATATAATTTGTTAATAACAATCGACTCCGGACTTTTTCGGGCTCGCACCCAACAGCATCGTCTTCAGGAGGTAAAAATACGTAGAAAAAACTTGGTGCAGTCGTGGACATATGAGAGGCTACGGATACCTACCTGGCCGCCCCACTATACCAGCGAGTGCGTAAAAGTATATACGCATTCCGTTATAATGTTGACGCAGCAAAGGGAGGATGCCAACACGCATACACACATTCAGTCTCTTTAAATACCTTTTTGTGGGTCACTCATGAATATTCAAGGCTTGCTCTCTCTATTTGTTTTTTAAATTGTAATATTCAAATTTTTCACCAATTTCCTATTAGTTATGTGATTATGGCTCCTGGGCTTGAATGGGTATCAGAATCGTGTGTATACATGTCGAACAAAAAAGTGCTCCCATTTGTTTGAAGAAGATCGACTTGCAAAAATTCTTATTGCATTTGATTCGTAATCAAATTCTCTATGATTTGGTTTTTTTTGCCAGCGAAAATGGGTGTGCACGCTTTTTTCTTACGCCTTCTGGCGGATAAATCCCTGTGCTGGCTGGCTATCTCTCTGTGTCGCCACTGCTACTCTGGGGCATAGATAAATTGGTTCCCAAATTTATAAAAAAAAGTCAAATTGGTTTCTGCGGTTTATTGGTTCCCATACACCTAACATATATATTGCAGTAGAATATCGAGTAGTACAGCACTTTGTTAAAGCTTGAATTCGCTTTGTTAAAAACTGGAACACAACGTAAAGAAGAAATGTACACCCATACTATTTAGAAAAACAACAAGTCATTAAACTTGAGAGCGGCCGATCACACTTGACTCTTGGTTGACAAAGTATCAACAAGTGTTTATACGGATAATTTCATCGTAAGTCAGATGTCTATGTATTCAGTCATAACATTTTGTACGTATGAGTCGTGTTTTTGTCATTATATTTTTTTGTATTTGTTCCAGTGTTTGAAAATGGAGGGTTTGTCGAGTGAAAGGGGTACAACTCTGCTGTACGTTGATTACTATAATTTTGGATTTAAAAAAAATCTAAAAAATAATCTTCAACGCTGGACGTGCACGGTTCGATCGTGCAAAAGTTATATAAATATTAATTCATCGAACAATATCGTGGAAAAATCAAGCCACCAACATGAGCACAAACCAGTTAACGAGGCTGTCAAAGATCGACCTTTTTTAAACCCTGACATGGTGGACGAATATTTTACTGAAGATTTGATGACTATAAGGCCCAATTATGCTAGGGTGACTGAATTTTGCTGAATTTTGAAACTATATATTAGAAAATTACGTAGCAAGTGATTCCTTATTTCCTCCAACGATTTGGGCTCAATTTTTATGTTCGATCTGCTGTACTATAAATAACTGTGAATCCTTTCATGCATATCTAAATGAAATGTTTCATACATCCAGTACAAACATTTTTGAATTTGTAGAAGAGCTGAAATCTGTACAATGTGAAGTGTATATCAAGATGCAAAGTAATAAAAGTAAATCATAAGAGACTATAAACAAGGAAAACTTTTTAAGAAGCAATATATTGTTGTATCATACAGGTTCTGCAACTAGCTTTGAATTTAATAAGGTAGTCTCAAAAAAATTTTTACCAATTTTTTAAACTTCTACTTTTTCAAACAGAGGTCTGTATTTTTTAAACACGTCAGCATTTAAATGGCTGCCAGTCCAAAGCCTGGAAAAAGTGTGACGGACAAAATATAGTATCTACATAATTATTGAATAGCCGGGAACCAATTTGACCATTCGCCTTAATGACTCGGGAACTAATTTTACCCTGCCTATCAGTGAAATTCTTGGCTGGGAACCAATTTGACATCTCCGCTACTCTGTGCTCCCTTCCCTAAAAGTGCACGCTTTTATTTTACACTTTCTAGCTAATGGGTCCCTGCGCTGGCTGGCTCTCTTTTTCTTTCTCTCTCTCTCTCTCTCTTTCTCTCTCTCTTTCTGTGTCGCCACTGCTACTCATCTGTGCTCCCCCTCCCTAGAAGTTCACGTTTTTTTCTTACACTTTCTGGCTGATGGATCCCTGTTTCCAACTGTCCTTATATACAGGAAATATACGAAAAGTATACATCACATTGTAACCTATGACAAAGAACTTCGTACTAAAAAAATTAGTTAAGTTAAGTACCGTCTAACTAACTATTATAGTTGGCTACTTAGCTAATACCTCATAACAAATGTCTTATTTGATCAAACGATGAGATACGTGTCTCATATTTTTGTCGACAAATACTGGAAAAATTATTTAGTAATACTCCCTTGCTAAAAGTTAAAAAAGATACACTTTTCCACATGACCCAGATCCTTTATGGGGGATCCCTTCAGAAAATACTTAGTAGTTTATACGTACTAACTTATACGAGGTCTATCTAGAAAGTATCAGGCCTACCTCTACAACTCCGTGCTGGCGTTATTCTTCATTATCTCGTGCATGGCACCTTTCAAAGTAATCCCCATTTGATTGAACAACACGGTTGCAGCGATGTTTCCACTTCTCGAAACAGTC